GAGAAGGGGAAAGCACAGGAAAGCCAAGCGGTTTGCTCAGGAATGGCAGCAGGCAGGTGTGAGTGCATCTGCACGCAAAGTGAGGCTAAGACTTTTGGAGGATGTCCTGGTGTCAAGAAGGGCAGCGAGGAGAAGCCACTTCTCTCCAGGAAAAAACATCAGGGACAGACTGATATTCTGCAAAAGGTACAGGGATTGGACTGCTGAGGACTGGGGTAAAGTAATTTCTCTGATGAATCCCCTTTCCGATTGTTTGGGGCATCCGGAAAACACCTTGTCCGGAGAAGACAAGGTGAGCGCTACCATCAGTCCTGTGTCATGCCAACAGTAAAGCATCCTGAGACCATTCATGTGTGGGGTTGCTTCTCAGCCAAGGGAGTGGGCTCACTCACATTTTTGCCTAAGAACACAGCCATGAATAAAGAATGGTACCAACACATCCTCCGAGAGCAACTTCTCCCAACCATCCAAGAACAGTTTGGTGACGACCAATGCCTTTTCCAGCATGATGGAGCACCTTGCCATAAGGCAAAAGTGATAACTAAGTGGCTCGGGGAACAAAACATCAACATTTTGGGTCCATGGCCAGGAAACTCCCCAGACCTTAATCCCATTGAGAACTTGTGGTCGATCCTCAAGAGGCGGGTGGACATACAAAAACCCACAAATTCGGACAAACTCCAAGCATTGATTATGCAAGAATGGGCTGCCATCAGTCAGGATGTGGCCCAGAAGTTAATTGACAGCATGCCGGGGCGGATTGCAGAGGTCTTGAAAAAGAAGGGTCAACACTGCAAATATTGACCCTTTGCATAAACTTAATGTAATTGTCAATAAAAGCCTTTGACACTTATGGAATGCTTGTAATTATACTTCAGTATACCATAGTAACATCTGACAAAAATATCTAAAAACACTGACGCAGCAAACTTTGTGAAGACCAATACCTGTGTCATTCTCAAAACTTTTGACCACGACTGTAGTATTCTGATAATACTCAATTGCACTTTTCTTAACCAGATGATAATTTGCAGTCAGCTCCCCTTGAGGACAATGTTATACTTATTTGTTATTTGTAAGTGTGTTGCGATTTCTAAATGCACTTTAAATAATGCTTGATTTGGTTAGCCAGTATTGGGAACTACCAATCCAAAGAATAAGTATCTATGACATGATGTTATTTGTGAATCTACAATGACAACTGCAGTTCCCCATGTTACTGAGTGGGTAGGAGGGTAGGAGAGGCCTGGAAAATATCATTTCATTAATCACTAGTGTGTCTTGCAGCAATAGTGTTTGCAGACTACTTCATTGCTGATCGGGGTTTTTTTTGGCCCAGAAGCACCACAGATGTCAGACTATACACACTATTTCATAATAATAATAATAATAATAATAATAATAATAATAATAATTAATAAATAAATAAATAAATAAATAAATAAATAAATACTCACTATTTGAGTACAGGTTACTCAGTGTGTTCCAGAGACGTACCTTGGCTTTTCCTTTAGGTACATAGTAGATCCCCGAGGCTCTGAGCAGGAAGTATCTCTTCTTCCAGCTCTTCTTCCCATCCTCCTTCAGCCAGAGTACTCCCTCCATCTCAGGCACAGACACAGAGCTGCCACAAAAACACTCCTGCCGAGGAGAGCGCACAGATATATACGGATGCACGTGCACACTCATACACACACACACACACACACACACACACACACACACACACCATCTATATAGTATGCACTAACACAAGGTGACATGTTGAAATGACCTGAATAAGTCAAGTTGTGTGCATCAGTTTGTTTGGAGGTGTGTTATGTTGAGATCACTGTACCTCCAGTAGTGCCTCTTTGTTCCTGTCTGCCATCTCACACGTCTCCTTCCGCCCCAACAAATAGTTCTGTGATTTTTCCAGAAACGTGGTGAATCAGGGTATGATAGTCAAAATTCAGAGTACATCATTTCAGTAAGTGTTAAAAAAAAAAATTGGGGAAAAAATACAATCCATCAAATGTTCCTCCAGTCAGTCACAGTCAATAGCTATATTGGGAAACCTAGCTATATTACCAAAAGGGGACGCAGTGCCACCCCGTCCCGTCAGAAAGTGGGGAAAAGCTTTTTTACCAAAAGGGGACAGCATGCTACCGCTCCCCCAGTCATTAAAGTGGGAATACTTTTACCAAAGGAACAGCAGTGCTAACCATCCCATCGTTAAAAGTGGGGGAAAACTATTTTCCAAGGGGAAAACATGCAACCAGCTCCCTTTGTTTTAAAATGGGGAAAAACTAATTCCAAAGGGGACAGCAGTGAACCCTCCCCCGTCATTAAAGTGGGAATATAAACCAAGGGGACAGCAGTGCTAACCAGTCCCAGTAGTTTAAAATGGGGAAAGCTATATTCCAAAGGGAACCGTGCCACGCTCCCCTCATTAAAGTGGAAACTATATTACCAAAGGAACAGCGTGCTCCCATCCCAGTCATTAAAAATGGGGTACTATATTTTCCAAAAAAGACAGCATCTAAACCCCTCCCAGTCGTTAAAAATAGAAAAGCTATATTACCAAAGGAACAGCAGTGCTCACCAGCTCCCACGTTAAAGTGGGAATATATTTCCCAAAGGAAAACAGTGCAACCAGCCCCATCAGTTAAATGGGAATGCTATATTTCCCAAAGGAGAAGCAGTGCTCACCGCCCAAGTCGTTAAAATGGGGGAAAATTTAATTACCAAAGGAACAGCATGCAACCAGCTCCCATCATTAAAGGGGGAAAGCTTATTACCAAGGGAGACAGAGTGCCACCAGCCCCATATTAAAATGGGAAAAGCTATATTACCAAAAAAACACATCCCCCAAACCCTCCCGTCAGTTAAAGGGAAAGCTATATTCCAAAAAAAACCATGCTAACCACTCCCACATTTTTAAAAGGGGGGTAGCTATATTCCCAAAAGGGGGAAAAGCAGTGCTACCGCTCCCCGTCAGTTTTAAAATGGGAATGCATTTACCAAAAGGGGAGAGCCTGTAACCAGCTCCCAGTATTAAGGGATACTTATTCCAAGGGAGCGCAGGCAACCACTCCCAGCGTTAAAGTGGGGAATAGCTATATTACCAAAGGGAAAAGCATGCTCACAGCCCATCAGTTAAATGGGGAATGCTATATTCCAAAAGGGGACAGCATGTCACCCGCTCCCTCGTTAAAGTGGGGAAAGCTATTACCAAAGGAGACAGCAGGCCCAACCATCCCCGTCTTTTAAAATGGGAATTATATTACCAAAGGAGACAGATGTAACCAGCTCCCATTTTTAAAATGGGGGAATACTATATTACCAAGGAGACAGCATGCTAACCAGTCCCATCAGTTAAAGTGGGAATAGTATATTACCAAAAGGGGGACATGCTAACCCGCTCCCGTTTTAAAGGGAATAGCTAATTACCAAGGGGGACGCATGCTAAAAGCTCCCACAGTTAAATGGGGAATAGCTATTTACCAAGGAGGGGCAGTGCTACCCTCCCAGTCAGTTAAATGGGAAACTATATTACCAAAGGAGACGCATCTAACCACTCCCGTCGTTAAGTGGGAAAGCTATATTACCAAAGGAACGCATGCTCCCAGCTCCAAATTTAAGTGGGAATAAATTACCAAAGGAGACACAGTGCTAACCCCTCCCAGCAGTTAAATGGGAATAGCTATATTACCCAAAGGGGGACAGCAGTGCTCACCCCCCTCCCCCGTCATTTTAAAATGGAAAGCTATATTACCAAAGGAGCGCAGTGCTAACCAGCTCCAGCGTTTTAAAATGGAATAGTAATTACCCCAAAGGGGACAGCAGTGCTAACCAGTCCCAGTCAGTTTTAAATGGAATAGCTATATTACCAAAGGGGACAGCATGCAACAGCTCCCGTAGTTTAAATGGGAAAAGCTATATTACCAAAGGAAGCGTGCAAACCCCTCCCCCGTCCTTAAAGTGGGAAAACTTTTACCAGGGAGAAGCGTGCTAACCATCCCCCTTTAAAATGGAATAGTATATTTCCAAAAGGGGACAGCAGTGCTCAAACCCGCTCCCCGTCGTTTAAAATGGGAATAGCTAATTTCCCCAAAACCTCCCCCCCCCCGCCCCTTTTTTCTTTTTCCCCACTCCGCCCCCCATCCCTTTTTTACTTTTCCCAAAAAACACTCCTTTTCCGCTCCCTCTTTTGGGTCTTTTCCCCCCATCTCCATCCCCCCCCCTTTAAAAATCTTTTCCCCGGGCTCTACCCCCCCCCCGCGAAATTCCCCAATTCCCAAAAATCTCCCCTCCCTTTTGGGCTTTTTCCAAAAAACTCACCTCCCCTTTTTCTTTTCCCACTCTCCCCTCCCCCTCCCCTTAAAAAAATGCTTATTCCGGAAAATCTCCCTCCCTCTTTTTAATCTATATTCCCCCTCCCTCCCCATCAGTAAATTCTTTTTCCAAAACCCTCTACCACCCCCCGTCCTTTTTCTTTTACCAAAAACCCTTTCCATCCCCCCAGAAATGGGTCTTATTCCCCCCTGCTCCAACCCGTCTTAAAGGGGGAAACCCTTTTTTCCCCTCTAAACCCCCCCCCTCGTTTTTCTTTACCCAAACCCCATCTCCCTTTCCCCTTTCCCCCTTTTCCCCGGGCCCCCCCCCCCCCCTTTTATCTTTTCCAAAAAAAGCTCTCCCCCCTCTTTTTCTTTTCCCCCATCTCCCCCCCTCATTAATTAATCTATTTCCCCCCCCTTCCCCCTCCCATCTTTTCTTTTCCCCCAAAGGGCCCCTTCTCCCGCTCCCTCATTTAAAGTTTTAATCCCCATATTCCAAAGAACGCTTGCAACCCTCCCTCATTAATAATACTATATTTACCAAAAACACAGTCTAACCACTCCCCCGCATTAAAGTGGAATCTTATTCCAAAAACACATTTTCTAACCACTCCCTCATTAAAGTAAACTATATTACCAAAATCAGCTTGCTCACCCCCCCCCACATTTTAAAAGTAATAGCTATATTCCAAAGGGAACGCATTCACCCTCCCCCCTCATTTTTTAAAGTGGGAAGCTATTTACCAAAAGACCCCCAGTCTAACCACTTTCCCATCATTTTAAAAGTGGGTTTCCCCATATTACCAAAGGGCGCAGTCTCCCTCCCCCCTCAGTTTTAAAATAATTTTTTTTTTTTTACCGGGGAAGCGTGTAAACCCGCTCCCAAATTTTAAAGGGGGAAAAGCTATATTACCAAAGGAGACCCCAGTGTACCACTCCCCGTCAGTTAAGTGGAAAGATATTCCAAAGGAGACAGCAGTGCCAACCAGCTCCCAGTCGTTAAAGGGGAATAGCTATATTACCAAAGGAACAGCATGCTAACCACTCCCATCGTAAAGTGGGAATCTAATTACCAAAGGAACGTGCTAAACCCCGCCCGTCAGTTAAAATGGGAATAGCTATATTACCAAAGGGACGCAGTGCTAAAATCCAGTCAGTTTTAAAGGGGAAAAATATATTACCAAGGAGACGCGTGCTAACCCCCCCTCCCGTCAGTTAAAAATGGGAAATAAATTTCCAAAGGAGACGCAGTGCTAACCACTCCCGTCAGTTAAAAGGGAAAAGCTTATTACCAAAGGGGGAAGCATGCTAACCAGCTCCGTCATTTTTAAATGGGAAAACTATATTACCAAAAAGGGGACGCATTCTCACCAGCTCCCGCAGTTAAAGTGGGGAAAAGCATATTACCAAAGGGGACACTGCTCACCACCCCAGTCATTAAAGTGGGAATAGCTATATTACCCCAAAGGGGACAGCAGTGCACCCCGCCCCAGTCAGTTAAAGTGGAAAAACTAATTTCCCAAAACAGCAGTGCTAACCCGCTCCCCGTCTTAAAATGGGAATAGCTTATTACCAAAGGGGCAGCAGTGCTAAAACCCCTCCTCAGTTAAAATGGGTGCTATATTTAAAAAGGGAAAAGCAGTGTAACCCGCTCCAGTCAGTTAAAGTGGGGAAAAGTTATTACCAAAGGAGACCAGTGCACCAGCTCCCCTAGTTAAATGGGAAAGTTTTATTTTCCAAAGGGGACCGCAGTGCTACCCGTCCCGTCATTAAAGTGGGAATACTATATTTCCAAAAGGGGACAGCGTGCTACCAGCCCCATCAGTTTAAAAAGGGAAAAGCTTAAATTTCCCAAAAGGGGACAGCAGTGCTAACCAGCTCCCAGTCGTTAAAATGGGAATACTATATTTCCAAAGGGGACAGCATGCTAACCCGCTCCCATCAGTTAAAGTGGGAATAAACTATATTCCAAAAGGGGAAAGCATCTACCAGCTCCCACTTTTTAAGTGGGGAATAGCTATATTCCAAAGGAGACGCATGCTACCAGCTCCATCGTTAAAGTGGGAATAGCTATATTTCCCAAAGGGGGACAGCATGCTACCAGCTCCCTCAGTTAAGTGGGAATAGCTAATTAACCCAAAGGAGACAGCATTACCAGCTCCCCGTCATTAAGTGGGGAAAAGCTATATTCCAAAGGGACACATTTAACCAGCTCCAGTCATTAAAATGGGAATAGATATTTTCCAAAGGAGACAGCGTGCTAAACCGCTCCCCGTCATTAAAATGGGAATCTATATTTCCAAAAGGGCAAGGGGTGCTACCACTCCCCGTCGTTAAAATGGAAAAACTTATTACCAAAGGACGCATGTCACCCGCTCCCCGCTTAAAGTGGGGGGGAAAACTATTTTTACCAAAGGGGGAAAGCATGCTTTAAAACCCGCTCCCAGTATTAAGTGGAATACTATATTTTCCAAAAGGAGACAGCTGCTACCCCTCCCATCATTAAAGTGGGGAAAACCCCTTCCAAAGGAGCCCGCAGTCTAACCCCTCCCAGTCATTAAGTGGGAATACATTTACCAAGGGGAAACAGTGCTAACCAGCTCCCCGTCCTTAAAATGGGAAAATATATTAAAGAGACAGATGCTCCCAGTCCCCTTTTTAAAGTGGGAAAACTTAAATTTCCCAAAAGGGGACAGCAGGCTACCCGTCCCCGTCATTAAAAGGGGAAGCTATATTACCCAAAAAAGACAGCAGTGTACCACCCCTCGTTAAAAATGGGGAATAGCTATATTTCCAAGGGGGCGCAGGCTACCATCCCCGTCATAAAGTGGGAAATATTTACCCAAAAACAGGTGCTACCAGCTCCAGTCGTTAAAGTGGGGTAGCTTTTATTCCCCAAAAGGAGAAGCAGTGCTAACCGCTCCCAGTCGTTAAAGTGGGAATACTATTACCAAAAGGAGAACTGCTCCCCGCTCCCCTCAGAAAGGGGGTGCTTATTACCAAAGGAGCAGATGTCACCAGCTCCCAGTCAGTTAAAGTGGGAATAGCTATATTACCAAAGGAGACAGCAGTGCTACCCAGCTCCCAGTCAGTTTAAGTGGGAATAGCTATATTACCAAAGGAGACAGCAGTGCTAACCAGCTCCCAGTCAGTAAAGTGGGAATTAGCTCTATTTACCAAAGGAGACACGCAGTGCTAACCAGTGCTAACCAGCTCCCAGTCAGTTAAAGTGGGAATAGCTATATTACCAAAGGAGACAGCAGTGCTAACCAGCTCCCAGTCAGTTAAAGTGGGAATAGCTATATTACCAAAGGAGACAGCAGTGCTAACCAGCTCCCAGTCAGTTAAAGTGGGAATAGCTATATTACCAAAGGAGACAGCAGTGCTCACCAGCTCCCAGTCAGTTAAAGTGGGAATAGCTATATTACCAAAGGAGACAGCAGTGCTAACCAGCTCCCAGTCAGTTAAAGTGGGAATAGCTATATTACCAAAGGAGACAGCAGTGCTAACCAGCTCCCAGTCAGTTAAAGTGGGAATAGCTATATTACCAAAGGAGAGAGCAGTGCTAACCAGCTCCCAGTCAGTTAAAGTGGGAATAGCTATATTACCAAAGGAGACAGCAGTGCTCACCAGCTCCCAGTCAGTTAAAGTGGGAATAGCTATATTACCAAAGGAGACAGCAGTGCTCACCAGCACCCAGTCAGTTAAAGTGGGAATAGCTATATTACCAAGGGAGACAGCAGTGCTCACCAGCACCCAGTCAGTTAAAGTGGGAATAGCTATATTACCAAGGGAGACAGCAGTGCTCACCAGCTCCCAGTCAGTTAAAGTGGGAATAGCTATATTACCAAGGGAGACAGCAGTGCTAACCAGCTCCCAGTCTAATTCCTAATCTATTATTCATAGCACCATCATCTACAACATACTGACCTGGATCTGAAGGACACACTGGGGTCTGTGTGTTTGTGTCTGTTGAGTGAGTTTGTGTGCAAATAAACACTGTCTGATACTATTGGGTGTATCTATTTTGGTGAAGCATTGTATTTTGGTGAAGCATTGTATTTTGGTGCCAGGTCAGTGTATTTTGGTGAAGCATTGTATTTTGGTGCCAGTTCAGTGTATTTTGGTGAAGCATTGTATTATGGTGCCAGTTCAGTGTATTTTGGTGAAGCATTGTATTTTGGTGGCAGTTCAGTGTATTTTGGTGAAGCACTGTATTTTGGTGCCAGTTCAGTGTATTTCCGTGTTGTATAACCTATCCTGCATCAGTTATATAATAAAATAGTGACTGGCAGGGACAGTAGTGGTCTGGCTGGCTATTTTGGTGACACATATTTTAAAGCAGCTTAGCCTCAGTCAGTGTTTTTCAGCATCAGTTGTGTCCAGGACTAGTCTTCATACTACACCGGCTCTGACGCTCGTCGGATGTGGCAGGGCTTGAAAACTATTACAGATTACAAAGGGAAGCACAGCCGCAAGCTGCCCAGTGACACGAGCCCACCAGACGCGCTAAATCACTTCTATGCTCGCTTCGAGGCAAGCAACACTGAAGCATGCATGAGAGCATCAGCTGTTCCGGATGACTATGTGATCAAGCTCTCCGTAGCCGATGTGAGTAAGACTTTTAAGCAGGTCAACATTCACAAGGCCGCAGGGCCAGACGGATTACCAGGACCTGTACTCCGAGCATGTGCTGACCAACTGGCAAGTGTCTTCACTGACATTTTCAACATGTCCCTGACTGAGTCTGTAATACCAACATGTTTCAAGCAGACCACAATAGTCCCTGTGCCCAAGGACACTAAGGTAACCTGCCTAAATGACTACCGACCCGTAGCACTCACGTCTGTAGCCATGAAGTGCTTTGAAAGGCTGGTCATGGCTCATATCAACACCATTATCCCAGAAACCCTAGACCCACTCCAATTTGCATACCGCCCCAACAGATCCACAGATGATGCAATCTTTATTGCACTCCACACTGCCCTTTCCCACCTGGACAAGAGGAACACCTACGTGAGAATGCTATTCATTGACTACAACTCAGCGTTCAAAACCATAGTGCCCTCAAAGCTCATCACTAAGCTAAGGACCCTGGGACTAAACACCTCCCTCTGCAACTGGATCCTGGACTTCCTGACGGGCCGCCCCCAGGTGGTAAGGGTATGAAACAACATCTGCCACGCTGATCCTCAACACGGGGGCCCCTCAGGGGTGCGGGCTCAGTCCCCTCCTGTATTCCCTGTTCACCCATGACTGCATGGCCAGGCACGACTCCAACACCATCATTAAGTTTGCAGACGACACAACAGTGGTAGGCCTAATCACCGACAACGATGAGACAGCCTATAGGGAGGAGGTCAGAGACCTGGCCGTGTGGTGCCAGGATAACAACCTCTCCCTCAACGTGATCAAGACAAAGGAGATGATTGTGGACTACAGGAAAAAAAAGAGGACTGAGCACGCCCCCATTCTCATCGACAGGGCTGTAGTGGAACAGGTTGAGAGATTCAAGTTCCTTGGTGTCCACATCACCAACAAACGATCATGGTCCAAACACACCAAGACAGTCGTGAAGAGTGCACGACAAAGCCTATTCCCCCTCAGGAGACTGAAAAGATTTGGCATGGGTCCTCAGATCCTCAAAAAGTTATACAGCTGCACCATCGAGAGTATCCTGACTGGTTGCATCACCGCCTGCTATGGCAACTGCTCGGCCTCCGACCGCAAGGCACTACAGAGGGTAGTGCGTACGGCCCAGTACATCACTGGGGCCAAGCTTCCTGCCATTAAGGACCTCTATACCAGGCGGTGTCAGAGGAAGGCCCTAAACATTGTCAAAGACTCCAGCCACCCTAGTCATAGACTGTTCTCTCTGCTACCGCACGGCAAGCAGTACTGGAGTGCCATGTCTAGGTCCAAAATACTTCTCAACAGCTTCTACCCCCAAGCCATAAGACTCCTGAACAGCTAATCATGGCTACCCGGACTATTTGCACTGCCCCCCCATCCCACCCCCCACCCCATCTTTTTACGCTGCTGCTACTCTGTTTATTATTTATGCATTGTCACTTTAACTCTATTTATTATTATTAGTCCCATCCTTCAGCTGTCTCACCTGTGGGTTTTTGAAGAGGGCGTACTTCTCGATGCGTTCTATGAACTTCAGTCTGTTCTGGCTGTCTCTGGTCCAGTTCTGAAGGTTCTCAACCAGGTTCTCATGGTCCTCAAAGATACGCTCTGGGAGGAAGAGTGGAGAAAGAGAGAGAATATAGTGTTGGGCTATAATAGTTTGTACACTAGGTTCCACTCTGGGGGGAGGACAGGGAGAGATGGACTGGGTTGCATCACCACTACACACAGACACAGCAGCCACCTCAGGACAGTAAGGAGACGTTTTAACCAAATAGCAGTAAGATCTCATGGCTTGTGAGGTCGTGACTGACTACCCACAATGCTTTATTGTGAAAAATAAAATGAAATGAAATAAAGAGAAGACAATAACCAATTTTTTTTAAGATTGGGGGGATTGATTGATGATTGATTGATTGATGATTGATTGATTGATTGATTGTTTGATTATTGACTCACCATGCTCTGGACACATTCACCATGCTCTGGACACATTTACCATGCTCTGGACACATTCACCATGCTCTGGACACATTCACCATGCTCTGGACACATTCACCGTAATACTAGAATATGAGCTTCCAATTTCATTCTGATGAAATTACCATCTACAGACAGTAAAATAAAATGATAAAGATACAACTTATTCTACATGGAATGGAAGAAACCCCCTAATCTAATCTGCTGGATTAGCTACAACCCCAGGCCATTAGATGATTAAAACATTACAGAATTAACCATCAAACCATCCTTTACACTGCTCCCGGAGGCTTACAGCTCATTCCCCAACATCCTACATCTGCCCTCCCCAGGGGACTTACAGCTCATTCCCCAACATCCTACATCTGCCCTCCCCAGGGGCTTACAGCTCAGTCCCCAACATCCTACATCTGCCCTCCCCAGGGGCTTACAGCTCATTCCCCAACATCCTACATCTGCCCTCCCCAGGGGCTTACAGCTCAGTCCCCAACATCCTACATCTGCCCTCCCCAGGGGACTTACAGCTCATTCCCCAACATCCTACATCTGCCCTCCCCAGGGGCTTACAGCTCATTCCCCAACATCCTACATCTGCCCTCCCCAGGGGATTTATAGCTCAGTCCCCAACATCCTACATCTGCCCTCCCCAGGGGATTTATAGCTCAGTCCCCAACATCCTAAATCTGCCCTCCCCAGGGGATTTATAGCTCAGTCCCCAACATCCTACATCTGCCCTCCCCAGGGGACTTACAGCTCATTCCCCAACATCCTACATCTGCCCTCCCCAGGGGCTTACAGCTCATTCCCCAACATCCTACATCTGCCCTCCCCAGGGGCTTACAGCTCATTCCCCAACATCCTACATCTGCCCTCCCCAGGGGACTTTAGACCTGTCTAAAATAAATAATGGATGTATTGTGATGGTGTAGGCTATATTACATGGATTTATTAGACTTTTTTAAATGTAGATGTTCCAAAGGTATGCATCAGTGGCTTGGGTAGAAGCCAGGAGATGCTAAATGTGTTTATGTTAATTAACGGTCAATTACCGTGAGACCGGCAGTTATTTGCTTGACAATCACCGGCTGACGAAACAACCACCACACTTGATACCCACTACAACATGCACCTTTCCACCAACACACCAAAACACACCGTAGCTTCTCCTTTTAATAACCATAGATACATCAAACCCCCTCACATGGAAACGTCACACTCCTTAAGATGGTCAAAATAAGCTTCCAGACCTTATCAAATACGTCCCTTCTCTGCCAAACTTTATAAAACACAGAATCTAACGGAATATAACTACATAGTTCAGCCTTCCAGTTCGTTATTCAAGCCCAGTATGATGCTTTCCAAAATTATAGCTATACCATTTTTTTGGGGCAGCAATTAGACCTAGGTTACAAAACTTTCTTTGATATTGGTCACCAATAATTACATTTCCCAACAGACAATAATCATGGAGACGGATGGATATACATTCCTAGACACAATGACCACGTTTACATGCGCACAGTATTCCTGGATAGAAGCTCATATCCTGCTTAAAGGTCTTATTTGGGATAAACTGTTTACATGGACCTTTGATAGCCCGCTCATAAATATCCCTGCATCCATGAATAAACAGAAATATTCCAAATTGAAGTTCATACGGGTTAAATAGAACAGTAAGTGAAATATGGACACTGACTGTAGACCTGTCACCTCTCACATGTAGCGTAATATAATATTAACTCCTGCAGAATTATGCATTTCTTGCACTGAAATTATACAACAAATGTTCATTTTGTCTTGGGAACATGAGTGGAGAAATATGACTTATTTATTTCAGCATCTCTTGAGAGAATGTAATGTGTTGTCTTTGACATGGTTAGGCAGGCAGACAGTATTTCAACCACATCAAATATCTTATCAGAAATGTGTTTCATCGTTTTGTCAGCTTTTCATTTAATTAAAACCGTTGAAACTAATGACATTTGGACATTTTGCACAGGACCAATCTTTCCACTGGAGATATTGCGTTTTCTCCCTGGTCCCTAAACTAAACAGACAACTTCACCGCTGTTAACTAGGTTACTAATGCATTCATTCTGTTGATGTAAGACATTATTCTGCTGAGCACTAATTCATTTAGTCTTCTGGGGCAACAAGCTTCTGTGACAGAAGAAAAGCTGCATGTATCTAACTATAGTTGACAAATAAATCGCCTACCAAATGTCAGAAATCATAATACAGCCTACCAAATGTTGGAAATTATGAGCAGAAACTTCATTAAAATTAGAGTATATTAATTATAGTAGGCTAAATTATTATGGTGGATCGAACTGCGCAGGTAGCCAACTTTTTGAAGCTATTTTCTTGACAATCAGATGAAAACATCATCACACAACACTCATGATATGCGAAACTGAGCCTGTGCATACAACAGTAAAAGTGATCAGATGTTAAACATGCCGCAGTATCCCGTCTTAGATCAGCATATCCCTGGCATCTTATCCGGGATTCTCATAACCGGGATACAAGCCTTTTCAGGTTATTGTAAAGACGGGATATGATGTTTATGCATGTGAACGTGGTCACTGATATGATAGCGCAGACATTCTCCCAACACGGTGTCACTTTATCAGGGGGGTACACAGCGTATTTAATAGGCTTCATTGTTTTCTGCATCTCCAACAGAGATGTGACATTTCTGGGTGCATTACATGCGTTCTGCCAGGAGTGGAGTAAATCCTATGGATTATCTTGAATTGCAATAATTTATGTTTAAGGCTGTAGGAGCAAATATAACATTTTCCAAATAGGGTTCTGGTCAAAAGTAGTACACTATATAGGAAATAGGATGCCATTTGGGACGCCGGCCCCGTGCATAGACAGGCACCGCTCAGGGCTGAAGACTAGATACACATCCGGCTCTTCATGATCTACAGCAGACCTTAATGCCTGCACTGTCAACACATCAATGTGTGAGGTGAAAAGGCCTTCACTTTCATAACGAGAGGCTGCACAGCCAGAGAGGGAAAGAGAGAGAGGCTGCACAGCCAGAGAGGGAAAGAGAGAGAGGCTGCCAGCCAGCCAGCCAGCCAGCCAGCCAGCCAGCCAGCCAGCCAGAGAGAGAGAGAGAGAGAGAGAGAGAGAGAGAGAGAGAGAGAGGGCTGGCCAGCCAGAGAGAGAGAGAGAAAGAGAGAGAGAGAGAGAGAGAGAGAGAGAGAGAGAGAGGCTGGCCAGCCAGAGGACTCCCTAGAGATATAGGTTAGTACAGCACTCTGCTGTACCGTGATGACAGTAGCCCACATATAACTAACAGTCCCTCTCAACAGCCACCAACACTCTCTGCTGCAGAATGTCAATGGCTTTCAATGACCTCCCTCTGGGGCGTTTTCATATTGTAAGGGGTTGTGTTCAATCTTTTCATCCCCGTAGTTGTTGCCCATCCCCCTACTGCTTATAGCAGAGCCACATGCACACAGGACTGCAGTGGCTAGTAATCCATTTGGTATTTCAGAAAATGAACTCTTCTGACTCTGACGCTAACTATCAAGGAGGATACATCAAATAGAATCAAACACAGACAAACGTCAGAGAAGAAGCTGATGGGAAACTATCTAAAATAAATGTTGTGTGTGTGTGTGTGTGTGTGTGTGTGTGTATGTCTTTAATCTGTGTTTGTGAGCGAGCACCTTGCTCCACCTACCCATCTGCAGTTCGTTGATGGTCTCCACCAGGGACCAGTCAGGGCTGTAGCCACAGTGGGACTTGTCCAACAAGCTGTCCAGAACCTGCCTGACAGTCTGTCTCTCGTCCACCATCATGGTCTTAGAGCTCTCATCTGACAGGTGCACTCGGATCACCAGCTAGACGGGAGAGGAGACACCGGAAGGGTTAGATTCATATTCTGGAATGAAGAATCTAGAATAATCCACACCAGCTGATCACCAGCTGGGCAAACACAGGACAAGCTGTCATTCCAGACACTTTTCACAGAAGTGTTGGTCACATCTGACAAACAGATGGTTCAATAAAAAGCTGGTCACCAGATAGAGGGCAATACACAGGGTGAGTAAAGCAGGAAACAGTTTATACTCCACTGGGTTAGATTGATTACTGCCCCAGGACCAATATACCATTATTGATCCTACTCACTGGGTTAGATTGATTACTGACACAGGACCAATATACCATTATTGATCCTCCTCACTGGGTTAGATTGATTACTGACACAGGACCAATATACCATTATTGATCCTACTCACTGGGTTAGATTGATTACTGACACAGGACCAATATACCATTATTGATCCTACTCACTGGGTTAGATTGATTACTGACACAGGACCAATATACCATTATTGATCCTCCTCACTGGGTTAGATTGATTACTGACACAGGACCAATATACCATTATTGATCCTACTCACTGGGTTAGATTGATTACTGACACAGGACCAATATACCATTATTGATCCTCCTCACTGGGTTAGATTGATTACTGACACAGGACCAATATACCATTATTGATCTTACTCACTGGGTTAGATTGATTGACAGCATGATACAATTTCATACCTCACTGGTTGACTTTGATCTACGATTGATTATTATTGGTCACATTGGGTTAACAGACCACTTGGATATGATGATTATGGCCTTGCATAGAGTTGAACAGTTCTGACATCAGGTTAACAGACCACTTGGATATCTCTACTCTACACAGACTCAGAATCGCTACTTTACACAGACTCAGAATCTCTACTCCACATACAGTGGGGAGAACAAGTATTTGATACACTGCCGATTGTGCAGGTTTTCCTACTTACAAAGCATGTAGAGGTCTGTAATTTTTTCATAGGTACACTTCAACTGTGAGAGACAGAATCTAAAACAAAAATCCAGAAAAATCACATTGTATGATTTTTAAGTAATTAATTTGCATTTTATTGCATGACATAAGTATTTGATACATCAGAAAAGCAGAACTTAATATTTGGTACAGAAACCTTTGTTTGCAATTACAGAGATCATACGTTTCCTGTAGGTCTTGACCAGGTTTGCACACACTGCAGCAGGGATTTTGGCCCACTCCTCCATACAGACCTTCTCCAGATCCTTCAGGTTTCGGGGCTGTTGCTGGACAATACGGACTTTCAGCTCCCTCCAAAGATTTTCTATTAGGTTCAGGTCTGGAGACTGGCTAGGCCACTCCAGGACCTTGAGATGCTTCTTACGGAGCCACTCCTTAGTTGCCCTGGCTGTGTGTTTCGGGTCGTTGTCATGCTGGAAGACCCAGCCACGACCCACCTTCAATGCTCTTACTGAGGGAAGGAGGTTGTTGGCCAAGATCTCGCGATACATGGCCCCATCCATCCTCCCCTCAATACGGTGCAGTCGTCCTGTCCCCTTTGCAGAAAAGCATCCCCAAAGAATGATGTTTCCACCTCCATGCTTCATTGTTGGGATGGTGTTCTTGGGGTTGTACTCATCCTTCTGTGGTCCTCTGTAGCTCAGCTGGTAGAGCACGGCGCTTGTAACGCCAAGGTAGTGGGTTCGATCCCCGGGACCACCCATACACAAAAATGTATGCACGCATGACTGTAAGTCGCTTTGGATAAAAGCGTCTGCTAAATGGCATATTATTATATTATATTATTTCTTCCTCCAAACACGGCGAGTGGAGTTTAGACCAAAACACTCTATTTTTGTCTCTGCTGCAGTGTGTGCAAACCTGGTATCCCTTCTTTCTTTTCTTTCCAAAACTATTGAGCGTGCCGTCTTTAGCCAACTCTCTTGCTATCTCTCTCAGAATGACCTTCTTGATCCAAACCAATCAGGTTTCAGGACTGGTCATTCAACTGAGACTGCTCTTCTCTGTGTCACGGAGACTCTCCGCACTGCTAAAGCTAACTCTCTCTCCTCTGCTCTTGTCCTTCTAGACCTGTCTGCTGCCTTTGATACTGTGAACCATCAGATCCTCCTCTCCACCCTCTCCGAGATGGGCATCTCCGGCGCGGCTCACTCCTGGATTGCGTCCTACCTGACCGGTCGCTCCTACCAAGTGGCGTGGCGGGAAGCTGTCTCCGCACCACGTGCTCTCACCACTGGTGTCCCCCAGGGATCGGTTCTGGGCCCTCTCCTTTTCTCCCTATACACCAAGTCACTTGGCTCTGTCATATCCTCACATGGTCTCTCCTATCATTGCTACGCTGACGATACACAACTAATCTTCTCCTTTCCCCCTTCTGATAACCAGGTGGCGAATCGCATCTCTGCATGTCTGGCAGACATATCAGTATGGATGACGGATCACCACCTCAAGCTGAACCCTGGCAAGACGGAGCTGCTCTTCCTCCCGGGGAAGGACTGCCCGTTCCATGATCTCGCCATCACGGTTGACAACTCCGCTGTGTCCTCCTCCCAGAGTGCGAAGAGCCTAGGCGTGACCCTGGACAACACCCTGTCGTTCTCCGCCAACATCAAGGCGGTGACCCGCTCCTGCAGGTTCATGCTCTACAACATTCGGAGAGTGCGACCCTGCCTTACACAGGAAGCGGCGCAGGTCCTGGTCCAGGCACTTGTCATCTCCCGTCTGGACTACTGCAACTCGCTGTTGGCTGGGCTCCCTGCCTGTGCCATTAAACCCCTACAACTCATCCAGAATGCCGCAGCCCGTCTGGTGTTCAACCTTCCCAAGTTCTCTCACGTCACCCCCCTCCTCCGCACACTCCACTGGCTTCCAGTTGAAGCTCGCATCCGCTACAAGACCATGGTGCTTGCCTATGGAGCAGTGAGGGGAACGGCACCTCTGTACCTTCAGGCTCTGATCAGTCCCTACACCCAAACGAGGACATTGCGTTCATCCACCTCTGGCCTGCTGGCTCCCCTTCCTCTGCGGAAGCACAGCTCCCGCTCAGCCCAGTCAAAACTGTTCGCTGCTCTGGCACCCCAATGGTGGAACAAGCTCCCTCACGACGCCAGGACAGCGGAGTCACTCACCACCTTCCGGAGACATTTGAAACCCCACCTCTTTAAGGAATACCTGGGATAGGATAAAGTATTCCTTCTAACCCCCCCCCCCCCCCAAATTGTAAAGTGGTTATCCCACTGGCTATAGGGTGAACGCACCAATTTGTGAGTCGCTCTGGCTAAGAGCGTCTGCTAAATGACGTTAATGTGCCCTTGAGCAAGGCACTTAACCCTAATTGCTCCTGTAAGTCGCTCTGGTTAAGAGCGTCTGCTAAATGACTAAAATGTAAATGTAAATGTCTCATCAGACCACATTACCTTCTCCCATTCCTCCTCTGGATCATCCAGATGGTCATTGGCAAACTTCAGACGGGCCTGGACATGCGCTGGCTTGAGCAGACGGGCCTGGACATGCGCTGGCTTGAGCAGGGGGACCTTGCGTGAGCTGCAGGATTGTAATCCATGACGGCGTAGTGTGTTACTAATGGTTTTCTTTGAGACTGTGGTCCCAGCTCTTTTCAGGTCATTGACCAGGTCCTGCCGTGTAGTTCTGGGCTGATCCCTCACCTTCCTCATGATCATTGATGCCCCACGAGGTGAGATCTTGCATGGAGCCCCAGACCGTGGGTGATTGACCGTCATCTTGAACTTCGTCCATTTTCTAATAATTGCTCCAACAGTTGTTGCCTTCTCACCAAGCTGCTTGCCTATTGTCCTGTAGCTCATCCCAGCCTTGTGCAGGTCTACAATTTTATCCCTGATGTCCTTACACAGCTCTCTGGTCTTGGCCATTGTGGAGAGGTTGGAGTCTGTTTGATTGAGTGTGTGGACAGGTGTCTTTTATACAGGTAACGAGTTCAAACAGGTGCAGTTAATACAGGTAATGAGTGGAGAACAGGAGGGCTTCTTAAAGAAAAACTAACAGGTCTGTGAGAGCCGGAATTCTTACTGGTTGGTAGGTGATCAAATACTTATGTCATGCAATAAAATGCAAATTAATTACTTAAAAATCATAGAATGTGATTTTCTGGATTTTTGTTTTAGATTCTGTCTCTCACAGTTGATGTGTACCTATGATAAAAATTACAGACCTCTACATGCTTCGTAAGTAGGAAAACCTGCAAAATCGGCAGTGTATCAAATACTTGTTCTCCCCACTGTAGACTCAGAATCTCTACTCCACATAGACTCAGCATTACAGTGCCCTTAGTAATTATTTGGACAGTGAAGCATTTCTTATTCTTTTGGCTCTAACTCCACAAGTTTGGATTTGAAATCAAACAGTGACTATGAGGTAAAAGTGCAGACTGTCAGCTTTAATTTGAGGGTATTTTCATCCATATCCGTTTAGAAATTACAGGACTATTTCCACATAGTTCCCCCAATTTTAGTGCACCAAAAGTATTGGGACAAATTCACTTATGTGTATTAAAGTAGTATATGGTCCCATATTCCTAGCACGCAATGACTACATCAAGCTTGTGACTCTACAAACTTGTTGGATGCATTTGCTTTTTGTTTCGGTTTTGTTTCAAATAATTTTGTGCCCAATAGAAATTAATGGTAAACATTTTCGAGTCACTTTTACTGTAAATAAGAATATAATATGTTTCTAAACACTTATACATTCATGTGGATGCTACCATGATTACGGATAGTCCTGAATGAATTGTGAATAATGATGAGTGAGAAAGTTACAGAGGCATAAATATCGTACCCCCCCCATAAATGCTAACCTCCCCTGTTATTGTAATGGTGAGAGGTTAGCATGTCTTGGGGGTATGATATAAAATGCTAACCTCCCCTGTTATTGTAATGGTGAGAGGTTAGCATGTCTTGGGGGTATGATATAAAATGCTAACCTCCCCTGTTATTGTAATGGTGAGAGGTTAGCATGTCTTGTGGGTATGATATTTGTGCGTCTGTAACTTTCTTACTCATCATTATTCACAATTTATTCAGGACTATCCGTAACCATGGTAGCATCCACATTAATGTAGAAGTGTTTAGAAACATATTATATTCTTATTTACAATAGAAGTGACTCCAAAATGACACAATACATTATTTACCATTAATTTCTATTGGCCACAAAATTATCTGAAACACAACCGAAAAACAAACAGCAAATGCATCCAACAAATTTGTAGTCACAAGCTTGATGTAGTCATTGCATGCTATGAATATGAGACCAAATACTAATGGGACCAAATACTTAACTTTTTACTACTTTAATACACAAAAGTTAATTTGTCCCAATACTTTTGGCGCCCTAAAAATGGGGGAACTATGTGGAAATAGTCCTGTCATTTCTAAACGGATATGAATGAAAATACCCTCAAATTAAAGCTGACAGTCTGCACTTTTACCTCATAGTCATTGTTTGATTTCAAATCCAAACCTGTGGAGTATAAAGCCAAAAGAAGAATAAATGCTTCACTGTCCCAATAATTACAGAGTATAACTCAATCTCTACTACACACAGATTTATATAACACAATCTCCAATCCACTTTCCACTTCACAGAAAGATCAGATCAGAGGAGAGGATATCAAATAACCTAGATAACTGATAGAAAATCCCTGACCTCTCCAAGTATTATAAAAACAACAACTCAGAGCAGTAAAAAAGCTCAGAACATCTAGCATTCAAGTGGGCGGCAGGTGGCTCAGTGGGTAAGAGCGATGTGCCAGTAACCGAAAGGTCGCTGGTTCTAATCCCCGAGCCGACTAGGTGAAAAATCTGTCGATGTGCCCTTGAGCAAGGCACTTAACCCTAAATGTAAAATTGTAAGTAAAATAGCTCCACCTATAAGATATAATAATAATAATAATAATAATAATAATTAGTCATTTAGCAGACGCTCTTATCCAGAGCGACTTACAGGAGCAATTAGGGTTAAGTGCCTTGCTCAAGGCAGCTGTAGGCTCCGCCCTAATTTATGTGCTCTCTGTCACCTGGAGACGCATGGCAAATGGTCCAGGAGCCAAGGACAACGCCCAAGGACAACGCCCAAGGACAACGCCCAAGGACTAGTCAGACCTTCCCCCTCTGAGGGGCCAACATGTACATCTCTCTGTTACAGTATCCAGAGCAATAAATATTGAATGTGGTAGAATAATACCATAGTATCCATGTATGGTTTCTATCTGAAACTTGTTCACTGAGGATAACTTTCATACTATCTACAGTATATGTATGTATGATCACTGTGGTTACTTGTATCTGTATAGGGTCAAAACACATTTATTTATAAAGCCCTTTTTACATCAGCAGATGTCACAAAGTGCTATACAGAATGTTTAAAATGCTGTTGGCCAGTTTTGATCAATAAAAGGACAGTAAATAAACAAATGATACAACCAGCATTTGTTTTCTACACTGTGAAGAGCTGTCGTCTTTCTCTGCTGTTAAAACACCTCAGTTCTCTCAGGCAGCCATGGGATTACACCTAGCCTAGAATAAAGTGACAGAACCAAGGAAGAGGAGAGAGGGAGATAATATCCCTCTTCCTGCCCTCCTTCCTGCCCTCCTTCCTGCCCTCCTTCCTGTCCTCCTTCCTGCCCTCCTTCCTGTCCTCCTTCCTGCCCTCCTTCCTGTCCTCCTTCCTGCCCTCCTTCCTGTCCTCCTTCCTGTCCTCCTTCCTGCCCTCCTTCCTGCTCTCCTTCCTGCCCTCCTTCCTGTCCTCCTTCCTGCCCTCCTTCCTGCCCTCCTTCCTGCCCTCCTTCCTGCCCTCCTTCCTGCCCCCCTTCCTGCCTCCTCCTTCCTCCTCCCCCCTCCTTCCTGCCCTCCTTCCTGCCCTCCTTCCTGCCTCCTTCTGCCCCCCTTCCTGTCCTCCTTCCTGCCCTCCTTCCAGCCCTCCTTCCTGCCCTCCTTCCCTGCCCCCTTCCTGCCCTCCTTCCTGCTCTCCTTCCTGTCCTCCTTCCTGCCCTCCTTCCTGCCCTCCTTCCTGCCCTCCTTCCTGCCCTCCTTCCTGCCCTCCTTCCTGTCCTCCTCCTGTCCTCCTTCCTGCCCTCCTTTCCTGCCCTCCTTCCTGTCCTCCTTCCTGCCCTCCTTCCTGCTCTCCTTCCTGCCCTCCATCCTGTCCTCCTTCCTGCCCTCCTTCCTGTCCTCCTTCCTGCCCTCCTTCCTGTCCTCCTTCCTGCCCTCCTTCCTGCCAGACCTGCGCGTGGAGCTACGGGGTTAGTGTGGCAATCAGACTTTATTCCTACTTTTTCTCTCAAGCGCGCACACACACTTCACACACACTTCCCACTACACACACACTTCCCCCCTACACACACACGTCCCCCTACACAACACACCTTCCCCCCTAACACAACACAGAACAACTTCCCCCCTACACACATCACTTCCCCCTACCACACACACTTCCCCCCTCACAACACACTTCCCCCGACCACACTACCACTTCCCCCCTACACACACACAGATACTTCCCCCCCCAACACACACACTTCCCCCTACACACACACACTTCCCCCCTACACACAACACACTTCCTCCCCCTACACCACACACAACTTCCTCCCCCCTACACCCACACTTCCCCCTACACACACACATCGCACATCCCCCTCACACACACACACTTTCCCCCTACCACACACACACACTCCCCCCTACACACACACTTCCCCCTACACACCCACACACTTCCCCTACACACACTTCCCCCTACCACCTTCCCCCTACCACACACACCCTTCCCCTACACAACTTCCCCCTAGACACACAACCACACACACTTCCCCCTACAACACACGGCCCCCTACAACACACACACTTCACTTCCCCTACACACCACATTCCCCCTACACACCCAACACTTCCCCTACACACACCCACTTACCCCCTACACACACAAACTTCCCCCTACACAACACACACTTTCCCCCTACACACACCACTTTTCCCCTACACACACACACTTCCCCCCTACACACACACAACTTCCCCCTACACACACAACACTTCCCCCTACACACACACTTCCCCCACACACACACACCCTCCCCCCTACACCACACTTCCCTACCACACACACTTCCCCCTACACACACACACTTCCCTTACAACACACACCACTCCCCCTAGACACACACTTCCCCCTACACCACACACTTCCCCTACACACACACACTTCCTTACACACACAACTTTCCCCTTACACCACACGACTTCCCCCTACACACACCAACACTTCCCCTACACACAACACCCTTCCCCTTATACAGCACACACACTCACCCTTACACACACACCATACAACCCCCAGCCAAGCCACTCCCCCCTCACCACTACCACTTCCCCCTACCACACACACTTCCCCCTACACACACACACTTTTCCCCTTACACGACACACACTCCCCCCTACAAACACACACTTCAAGGAAATTTGAAGGTCAGTCTGACACGTGGCGGGCACCTCTCTCCCGTCCCACCCCCTTCTCCTCCATCCCTTTCCCACACTGGCAGGGCGAGCGGCTTAGTAAAGGCCCAGCCGGCCGTATGCTAATCCACCAGCTCAGATTTGGGCCTTACTCCTGGAGGGTATTCCATCACATTAGGCAAGAGATAGAGAGAAGAGAGAGAGAGAGAGAGAGAGACAGGGGGAGAGAGTGAGCCAGAGAGAGAGATGAGTAGATTGATTGAGAGCCGGATATACTATATCTAGCTAGAGTCGAGAGAGAAAAAGAAGATGAGAGAAAAAGAGAGATAGACAAAGAGATGAGAGAGAACAGGTGGAGAGAGTGAGCCAGATAGATAGAGAGCCAGGGGAGAGAGTGAGCCAGATGGACCGCCTGGGTCCTGCCTGTCCACTATGACCTCAGCCGTGTAACACTGGCCTGACCCAGAAACAGAGAAGAACTGTGGAACACTGGCAAGTTATAGATTGTAACAGGAGTCAGTCAGGAAGAGAACTCATCCTTTCAATCTGATTTAGAACAGGACAACTAACCTTTTTAACTTGGGCCTCCTTGATCTTCTCCAGAGCCACACGGATCTTCTCTGCCTTGGTCTTGGCAGCCTGTTCTTCCTACAGACAGACACACACACACACACACACACACACACACATATTAATACACATAAACAAACAACAACACAGGTGCACACACAGAATCCCCCCCCCCCCCCCCCCATCCTCCCCCTCCTCCTCCTGTCTCCTTGTCTAGGGAGGTGGGAACCTCCACCTCTGCTCTCTCACTTACCTGGCTTCTCCAACAAGACACCATTATCGCTCTAAAAACAGACCGTTATTCTGCGTTCCTTTATGGAAGAATAATTCATATATTTCCCGTTTCTAGAAGGTAGAGAATGGAAGTGAGTCTTATGTAAAAACAATGCCTAGTCTTTCAGAGGTGGCTGCTGTTAGAATCCTCCCGTTGTTTCATATTCTGCCAGATTAGCATTTGGATGAAATCTACAATTGTCCACAGTAGATTACAGGATCTGTATTCTCCTTCAGAATAATATCACAGGAAGGGAAGTAGCAATAGAATTTGAAACAGTAGTCCTTTCAGTCCTCTCAGTTCCAAAGCAACCGAAGCAGCCAGAATATCTCACAGTAAAAAAGAAGAACAATGTCCCGTAGTTAATAAACCAATCCTGTTAGTCTATTCCTGTCCCGTAGTTAATAAACCAATCCTGTTAGTCTATTCCTGTCCTGTAGTTAATAAACCAATCCTGTTAGTCTATTCCTGTCCCGTAGTTAATAAACCAATCCTGTCAGTCTATTCCTGTCCTTTTACTGCAAGGTGAGGAGCTTCAAATCACAAAAAAAGCGATTAGACTAGTATGAAGATGGATCATTTGAATCCATTCCAAGCCGGTTCAAAACAGGCAGCACAAATACATGCCCCCATCTTCTAGTGGCCCACTCAGACATGCACCTCGCCAGAAACTGAGAACAGGAGAGGAGAGGATCCTTTCACTGCATCCCTGACAGGGAAGGAGGGCCGGCTCTACCAACACACAGAGACGGTGATTATCTTTCTCTCCCTCCCTCCCTCAGAACATGTCCAATCAGATTATAATCCCTGACACACAGTGTTGTCCTCTCTCTCTCTCTCTCTCTCTCTCTCTCTCTCTCTCTCAGAACATGTCCAATCAGATTATAATCCCTGACACACAGTGTTGTCCTCCCTCTCTCCCTCCCTCCCTCCCTCCCTCCCTCCCTCAGAACATGTCCAATCAGATTATAATCCCTGACACACAGTGTTTGTCCTCCCTCTCTCCCTCCCTCCCTCAGAACATGTCCAATCAGATTATAATCCCTGACACACAGTGTTGTCCTCACTCTCTCCCTCCCTCCCTCCCTCCCTCAGAACATGTCCAATCAGATTATAATCCCTGACACACAGTGTTGTCCTCCCTCTCTCCCTCCCTCCCTCCCTCCCTCCCTCCCTCCCTCCCTCAGAACATGTCCAATCAGATTATAATCCCTGACACAGTGTTGTCCTCCCTCTCTCCCTCCCTCCCTCCCTCCCTCCCTCAGAACATGTCCAATCAGATTATAATCCCTGACACACAGTGTTGTCCTCCCTCTCCTCCCTCCCTCCCTCCCTCCCTCCCTCAGAACATGTCCAATCAGATTATAATCCCTGACACACAGTGTTGTCCTCCCTCTGGCTGAGTGGCTGCAGGGTACACTTCCTCATTCTCCTAAAAACAATCAGACTCCAGCCCTGGCATACAGCCCACCGCTCCACACTGTAGCCTCTCCAGTCCACACGCTATGGGTAGGGGAGTAGGGGAGGGGAGGAGAGTAGAGGAAGGATGGGTGGAGAGTAGGGGAAGGATGGGTAGAGAGTAGGGGAAGGATGGGTGGCGAGGTAGAGGAAGATGGGTAGAGAGTAGGGGCAGGATGGGTATAGGGGAAGGAGGTAGGTAGGGGAAGGATTGGGTAGAGAGTAGGGGAAGGATGGGTGGAGAGTAGAGGAAGGATGGGGGAGAGTAGGGGAAGGATGGGTGGAGAGTAGGGGAAGGATGGGTGGGAGAGTAGGGGAGGGGAGGATGGGTAAGGAGTAGGGGGAAGGATGGGGTGAGAGTAGGGAGGAGGAGGATGGGTAGAGAGTAGGGGAAAGGATGGGTGGAGAGTAGGGAAGGATGGGGGAGAGTAGGGGAGGGGAGGATGGGGAGATGAGGATGGGGAGAGGATGGGTGGAGATAGGGGAGGGGAGGATGGGTAGAGAGTAGGGAAGGATGGGTGGAGAGTAGGGGAGGGGAGGATGGGTAGAGAGTAGGGAAGGATGGGTGGAGAGAGGGGAGGGGAGGATGGGTAGAGAGTAGGGGAAGGATGGGTGGAGAGTCAGGGGAGGGGAGGATGGGTAGAGAGTAGGGGGAGGAGGGTGGGAGAGTAGGGGAAGGATGGGTAGAGCAGTAGGGGAAAGGATGACGTGGAGAGTAGGGGAAAGATGGGTAGAGAGTAGGGGAGGGATGGTTGGAGAGTAGGGGAAGGATGGGTGGAGAGTAGGGGAAGGGAGGGTGGGGGAGAGTTAGGGGAAGGATGGGTGGAGAGTAGGGGAAGGATGGGGGAGAGTAGGGGAAGGATGGGTGGAGAGTAGGGGAAGGATGGGGGAGAGTAGGGGAAGGATGGGTGGAGAGTAGGGGAAGGATGGTTAGAGAGTAGGGAAGGATGGTAGAGAGTAGGGGAAGGATGGTAGGAGTAGGGGAAGGATGGTTAGAGAGTAGGGGAAGGATGGGTGGAGAGTAGGGGAAGGGAGGATGGGTGGAGAGTAGGGGAAGGGAGGATGGGTGGAGAGTAGGGGAAGGGAGGATGGGTGGAGAGGTAGGGGAAGGAGGATGGGTGGAGAGTAGGGGAAGGCGAGGATGGGTAGAGAGTAGGGGAAGGATGGGTAGAGAGTAGGGGAAGGATGGGTGGAGAGTAGGGGAAGGATGGGTAGAGAGTAGGGGAGGAGAGATGGGAGGGGGTGGAGAGTAGGGGAAGGATGGGTGGAGAGTAGGGGAAGGGAGGATGGGATGTGAGAGTAGGGGAAGGGGGAGGATGGGTGGAGGTGGGGAAGGGAGGATGGGTGGAGAGTAGGGGAAGGGAGGATGGGTGGAGAGTAGGGGAAGGGAGGATGGGTGGAGAGTAGGGGAAGGATGGGTGGAGAGTAGGGGAAGGATGGGGGAGAGTAGGGGAAGGATGGGGTAGAGAGTAGGGGAAGGATGGGGTAGAGAGTAGGGGAAGGATGGGTGGAGAGTAGGGGAAGGATGGGTAGAGAGTAGGGGAAGGGAGGATGGGTGGAGAGTAGGGGAAGGGAGGATGGGTGGAGAGTAGGGGAAGGGAGGGGATGGGTGGAGAGTAGGGGAAGAATGGGTGGAGAGTAGGGGAAGGATGGGTGGAGAGTAGGGGAAGGATGGGTGGAGAGTAGGGGAAGGATGGGTAGAGAGTAGGGGAAGGATGGGTGGAGAGTAGGGAAGGGAGGATGGGTGGAGAGTGAGGGAAGGGAGGAGGGGGAGAGTGGGTGGAGAGTAGGGGAAGGGAGGATGGGTGGAGAGTAGGGGAAGGGAGGATGGGTAGAGAGTAGGGAAGGATGGGTAGAGAGTAGGGGAAGGATGGGTGAGAGTAGGGGAAGGATGGGTGGGAGAGTAGGGGAAGGAGGGGGTAGAGAGTAGGGGAGGGATGGGTGGAGAGTAGGGAAGGGAGGATGGGTGGAGAGTAGGGGAAGGAGAGGATGGGTGGGAGAGTAGGGGAAGGGGAGGATTGGGAGTGGGAGATGGGTGAGAGTAGGGGAAGGATGGGTGGAGAGTAGGGGAAGGATGGGTAGAGAGTAGGGGAAGGATGGGGTAGGAGAGTAGGGCAAGGATGGGTGGAGAGTAGGGGAAGGATGGGTAGAGAGTAGGGGAAGGGAGAGGTAGAGAGTAGGGGAAAGATGGGTGGGTAGAGAGTGAGGCAAGTATGGGTGGAGAGTAGGGGAAGGATGGGTAGAGAGTAGGGGAGGAAGGATGGGTAGAGAGTAGGGGAAGGATGGGTAGAGAGTAGGGGAAGGATGGGTGGAGAGTAGGGGAAGGATGGGTGGAGAGTAGGGGAAGGATGGGGTTAGAGAGTAGGGGAAGGATGGGTGGAGAGTAGGGAAGGATGGGTGGAGAGTAGGGGAAGGGAGGATGGGTGGAGAATAGGGAAGGGAGGATGGGTAGAGAGTAGGGGAAGGATGGGTAGAGAGTAGGGGAAGGATGGGTAGAGAGAGTAGGGGAAGGAGGGTGGAGAGTAGGGGAAGAATGGGTAAGAGAGTAGGGGAAGGATGGGTGGAGAGTAGGGGAAGGAGGGGTGGAGAGTAGGGGAGGGAGGATGGGTGGGGAGAATAGGGGAAGGGAGGATGGGGTGGAGAATAGGGGAAGGGAGGATGGGTAGAGAGTAGGGGAAGGATGGGTAGAGAGTAGGGGAAGGATGGGTAGAGAGGAGTAGGGGAAGGATGGGTTAGAGAGTAGGGGAAGGAGGGTGGAGAGTAGGGGAAGGATGGTAGGAGAGTAGGGGAAGGATGGGTGGAGAGAGGGGAAGGATGGGTGGAGAGTAGGGGAAGGATGGGTGGAGAGTAGGGGAAGGGAAGGATGGGGATGGGGAGAATAGGGGAAGGGAGGATGGGTAGAGAGTAGGGGAATGATGGGTAGAGGAGTAGGGGAAGGATGGGGTAGAGAGTAGGGGAAGGATGGGTGGAGAGTAGGGAAGGATGGGGTAGAGAGTAGGGGAGGGAGGGTGGAGAGTAGGGGAAGGATGGGTGGAGAGTAGGGGAAGGGAGGGGTGGAGAGTAGGGGAAGGGAGGGGGGTGGAGAGTAGGGGAAGGGAGGATGGGTGGAGAGTAGGGGAAGGGAGGATGGGTGGAGAGTAGGGGAAGGATGGGTGGAGAGTAGGGGAAGGATGGGTGGAGAGTAGGGGAAGGATGGGTGGAGAGTAGGGGAAGGATGGGTAGGAGTAGGGGAAGGGAGGGATGGGTGGAGAGTAGGGGAAGGGAGGATGGGTGGAGAGTAGGGGAAGGGGAGGATGGGTGGAGAGTAGGGGAAGGGAGGATGGGGTGGGAGAGTAGGGGAAGGGAGGATGGGTAGAGAGTAGGGGAAGGATGGGTAGAGAGTAGGGGAAGGATGGGTAGAGAGTAGGGGAAGGATGGGGTAGAGAGTAGGGGAGGGATGGTTGGAGAGTAGGGGAAGGATGGGTGGAGAGTAGGGGAAGGGGAGGATGGGTGGAGGAGTAGGGGAAGGATGGGTGGAGAGTAGGGGAAGGATGGGGGTGGAGAGT